TTCAAGTTTCTCAATACCTCTCTGATTTCTATACCTGAGTCAAGTGTTCAAATCTCGTGCTTATCGAGGTGCTGATGAAAATTATTTATTCTATCTTACGTAAACGTTTTCACCTTCATAGTCTTTGAATATTTTGTGATGTATAGGAAATTCAAGGTGCTGAATATTCTCAATGGGTCAAGTTTCTCAAAACTTTCCTTAAGTATTTGCAGACAGTTGATGTATGTTTTCATTTCTACACGTGAGTCAAGCGTTCAAATCTTGTGCTGATGAATGCTATTCATTCTTCCTTACGTGTAGGTATTTGGGCTATGTAAAAATGAATATTGTATGCTCTCTATTACTTAAGTCGTGGATTCAAATTCGAAGAAGCTTCCACTAGTGGAAGAGAACGTTTTAAGATAGATAAAACGACAAGAGAAGAAAGTGACGTCATATACGGTGTGGGCCCTGTTTTTGTTTAATAAATTTGTTGAAAATATTGTGATATTATAAAGATTTATTAATTTTTAAACATACGCGGTTAACATTTAAATATGATTTCTTTCGTTGACTATATTGAAATGCCTTAAATGTCAAATGAGTCGAGGATTCAAATTTAAAGATTAAGTGGAAGATATTCAAGAGGGTAATTAATAAACCTAGAAAAAACGACACTAGACCGAAGTGACGTCTTATACGGTGTGGGTCCTGTTTTTTTATAATAATTAATTTTGTTGAAACTAAATGAATAATTGTCATGTGACCATAAGAATTGCAATAATCAGTAAAACATTAGGTATAATAATATATTTACTTTGCATTTTCCAAAAAATACGATCGCCGCGTCGCCAAACGGGAACTTCAAAGGACAAGGCGAAACGTTATAGTGGCACGCCGCGATCGGTGTAGCATAAACGCTCCAATTAAGGGGCAATTTAGTGGCGCAGGGAACATTCTTGGAAAATCACTTTATAGTTCCAAAGAATCGTGGACCATGTAGTTCCAAAAAAGTTATTGTTTCCATAAAGTCGCCTCTGGGTAGTTACAATTGTCACTTTATCAAGCCGAAGATTTTAAAGTTCCAAACGGGTAGGGTTGGCCTAATATATTATTGTTCCCGGTACTTTGTGGAAGCATATGGAACCATAAAGTATTTTTTGGATTAAACGGCCATATTTTTTTCATGACTTTTCAGACGAACAGCCAAATGGCTCAAACATTTTACGTTTTCAAGCTAAATATACCTAAACTAAAGCTTTTTTCTTTAGTTATTTTGTTATTTTTGACGGTGGACTACTAATATTTTTAAGTTTCACGCCAGTTTCAAGAAAATTATTTTTTTTTAAATTAATACATGAGTTTCTATTTCAAATATTATAATAAATTGAAATGTTTTGAGAGGCGCTCGAAAATTTTGTCATATAAACCCAATATTTTATTCAGTAAAGTCGATTGCGTTTTAAAATTTACCTACCAAAAGCGTTAAAATCGCATGGTAAATAACAAAAAAATAATAATGGCTTCCATAATTACTTTCCATCATGACATTTATTTAAGGAAGTGTGAAATTACATGAAGAGGTCGCTGCGAATAAAGTTTAATAGTTTAAAGAAAGGTCTACCTGTCGGAGGAAAACACTAGGCTGCCACGAACCCGCGACAAGGCAGCTTCGTAACAGATAAGTCGCATTCACCAGTAGGCTACTTTATAGTAACACATAGTAGTAACTCTTTTAGTGGCAACAACTACCCAAGACACTACCCGGCTACTCAAAATCTTTCCCCATTTTGGTCGCAGTTACTTAGCAGCTACGAATATACAACGTAGCCGCCGATAGTCACCGCCCCCTTTGTAGTGGCTTTGATAGTAGCAGTTACGTATCTGCCACCATAAATGCTAGTTGGGAGAGACTGTCGCCCTTTTTAACGCACCCCCTATCCAAAAAATCCAATTCATGGGATAGGTCTAAAGCTATTTATCACTGCGGAATGAAATATTTCAGTCGACAGTGTTTTATTATAGTTTGAAAATTATAATTTAATTTAAGTTTACATTGAAAATTAATTACGAAAAGTTCGCACAATTATGTTTTATCTGGTAAATTTAAGTTCCAATTGTAAATTAAAATTTACAATAAATTTTTATCTAATTATTAAATTAATTTTTTTTAATATTAATAAAACAGTAGAATTCTGCATTTTTTGGTGCTTTTTTAGCATTTTTTTTAATTGATAAGGTTCAAAAATATTTTTTAATTTAGTTATTTAATTAAAATTAATTGGAAATTCTAATTTTCAGTTGAAACTTAAATTTATCAGATAAACACTTATATTTATATGAACACTACACAAAACTGCTTATTACAGCAACATTAATCACTTTAACACTATGGGCAAGTCGTTAACACTGTTGGAACACCATGAACACTATGCAACACTCTTTATCACTGTGCAACATTACAACAACACTAGTGCAACACTATGGTACAAGTCGTTAACACTGTTGGCACAGTAGTGTTGTACAGTGTTTAATAGTGTTTAATACTGTTGAACAGTGTTTTTCCGTAAGGGTAATCTGGTGTATGTTTAAATTGTTCAGGTTAACTTTTGGAATGTTTTTTAGTATCACAATATTTTTCTTGCAATCGGGGTAATTTTACGCTGAAAAATTGGGGTAATTTTGCGCTGCAAAATTTGGCCAATATGGGAGTTTTTGGTACAGGAGCCTAGATTGTTCATCATAAACAGTTCCATTTGGGCACACGCGGAGTGTAGCGTAAAAAACAACCCCTAAAACTACATATGTGACAACTGCTGCATGTAGACCCTCTTATTTCTAAGAACAAAAATTTTATTTTTAGTTATTTATTTTTGATCTTGTTTGTTTTGTTTGTTTCATAGAGAAAATAGTTTTGTTTTATTTTTATGTTTTAATATAATAATATTATAGAAATAAACGGTTTATTTAGATACCTACAAATCTTTCTCTATACAGCGCAAATTTTCCCCCCATGATGCGCAAAATTACCCTGATAGGTGGGTAATTTTGCGCAAATTCATTATTTAAAAAAATGTAGTTTTTGCATACCAAACAATTTGTTTTTATAAATTGCGCATTATATACACATAGTAAACATAGTAGACTATCGCTGGTATTCATTGCAAAATTTCACATTTAAACTTCACAAAGATACTAGAGATTTTGCTTAGATGCGCAGAATTCCCCCACCTTCCCCTATTTGTTCCTGCGTGTAGACCGGGCATGTCCGCCTGGCCGAGTGTCGGCTGGGTATAGTTGCCGGCCACAACAGCCTGGCAATTCTAAAAAATGCCTTCTGACGTCCTGGATAGGTATATATCCTGTAGGTTTAACACACTCGACTATAGCTAGCCATTATTCGTTACTGAGCAGATGAGGATGGAGATGGGGACTTCAAACAATTAATGTTCAGCTATGCCATTACAGACGCATACTTACTTCCAACGAAATATTGCAACCCATCGCTATTTATAGTTAGCTCGTGTGCGTAAGCAGCCGTGAGATGTATCGCTTGTGCCGCGGCAGGCCGTATTCCGGCCGTAAGCGGGCCGGCTAGGGCAAGCCGAACGATTTTGCCATGTTCTAACCGAAGTCGGCCAGAATACGGCATTCCGCTGCAAAATCGAAGGATCCATTAATTATTTGGAGTCCCCATCTCCATCCTCATCTGCTCAGTAACGAATGTCTAGCTAGTCGAGTTTGTTAAAAAAGTATCTTGTCATTCAGAGAATTTCAGGACTAAACTTATATGATATACCTCTCCAGGACGTCTGTAGGCTTTTTTTCAATGGCCAGGCGGTTGTGGACGGCACTCGGCCAACTATACACAGCCGACACTCGGCCGAGTAAACATAGCCGACATTCGGCCAGGCGGATATGCCCAACAGTTGGCCACCCTGCTTAAAATACCCCATAGAGACCTATACAAAATAATCTATCGGGCGCTACCGGATTCTATATGTGCATTTGTCCATGGGTTTTTCCGGATACAGCCCGATAGAAAATGTATAGGAAATTACCTATAGGCACACCATAACTTTTACATTTTCCCTATTGAGACCGATAGAAAATAACTCAATGAAGGATATATAGGGATATCCCTATAGAGCAACCATAAAACATTTGACAAAATTTTATTAAAACCTATAGGGTCCTATAGGGAAAAAACTAATTTCTACATTTATGTGTATTTTCCCCATTGAAACCGATAGCAAATAAATCAATGGTGGATATCCCTATAGAACAACCATAAATCTCAACTACGGGTCCTATACAAACCGATACACCCTATAGAAACACCATGGTGTTTCTATAGGGTGTATGCATACATCCCGATACAAATATCTATCGGTTTGAACAGGGTCTCTATGGGGTATTTTAAGCAGGGCACTTATGTTCTGTGGTTGGCCAGACGGACATGCACGGTCTACACGCCGGAACAAATACATGTGTCGGGCCGCACGCGGCCGATTCGGCAAACGTATTCGGGCCGTATGCGGGCCGGCTAGCTTGTGTTTACTGGGATGTGTTTCGCATGCAAATTAATTTAATTGCTTATAATACTATATGATTTATACCTACGCCATTTATGTTTATTTCGTTTGTATAGTAGTGTTTTTTTGTTTAATTTTATTCGAACTGTATAAATAAGTGTTTAGAATTTTTTGTTTTTTATAATGAACAAAGAGTTTTTTGAGGTAGGTACACTAATGTTTCTTATTTTACCTTTATAGTCACTTTAACTAACTTTACTATTTAAGTACCTAAAATAGCATGAAAAATATCGCCCAGTGATCAAACAATGTCCCTAAAATAGTTTGCATCTAAAAAAAATGAATGAAATGAAATAGGAGTTGCGAAATATTCGTATTTAAATACAAAATACATTAAGCGCCTTAAAGTTACGCAGCACATATTACACATCTGGTGACTTTTACAGTTAGTAATTTAATTGGTTACTTTGGTAGTTGTTTGTATCATGGTTGTGGCGTGCCTGGGAACCTGCGGCTGACAGCGGGCAATCTGTCAATATTGATGTGTTTTTCAATGTTTACGTGCAGAAAGACGAGGCATTTCTAAGAGAAAAACTATGATACGTGACTGAAACCGTGTTAAATATGGCTCAAAGCACAGCCAGTGGAACTTCCTCTAGAAGGCACAACAGAGATCATGATACGGCCTCAATTGCGTCCTCAAGAATTGCAGATATTACCGAGTGGGAGGCCAATGAGGTACGAAAGTTATTGTTTATTTCATAATATTTATAAATAAAAAGCATGTGGGATTGGCATATGTAACATACCATTTATAGGCGTAACTTGCTCTGTCATGCAATAGGTAAAAATGAACTGGTTTTTGTCAATATTTTAAGTATTTATTAGATAATTATTACCCTTTCCATCAATAATGGAATGTCAATTGACTGTTAGGTATTCATTTTTTGGTTTGATCCTGCGTAGAGTTGTCTTTTGTTTGCCTAACTGTATATCAAAACACAATTTGTTTGAATAATATACCTAGTTTAAAAAATATATTTTATACCTAATTAAAATTATATTTAAAAGGTTAAATTCAATTAAAACTAAACCCTGGAACCCGAGTCTGACGACTGTAACCGAGGGGTAAACCACTTTAAAATCAGCAAGACCAACGTTAACCGTTATGTGGACATTGTGTTCTGATTTTTTTCTTATCAGTCATTATCAGTCGCTAAGAGAAATTTCTTATTGATAAGGAGTTTTTCTTAAGCCTGATTTATAGATTGCTTTCCTTCCTTCCTTCCTTCCTCCCATAGAAAAAGAACCATACAAAAACCTGTTGTCCCATACGGAAATCTATAAATGGCACTACCATTTTCATTGTTCATCTTCTATGGGAGAAAGGAAGGAAGGAAGGAAGACAATCTATAATTCAGGCTTAAAGGAAACTACTTATCAATAAGAAATTTTTCTTAGCGACGTTTTGCTTCCCTTGTTATTGTTATCTTTAGCCGTTAATTTGTATGCGATTTTTAATTTTAAAAAATCAGTGGTTTACCCCTTGACTGGAACCAAAAATTTTTAATAAATCTAATATCTCATCTTTCTATGTCATATTAATCCTTTTAAAAGCAAAATAAAAATAAAAAAAATATCGATTTGAGTGGGTTATTTTAATTTTAGCCCTTTTTAAAACTATATAACGTACTTTGCTCCGTCACATTAGATCTACTACATTCTTTGTCACGTCATATTAGATCTGAGATGCTATGATTTATTTATCACTTAAAATTCTATTGAAAATCGCGAAAAATTACAGATGCTATCTGGGTAATTAATATTATTATTTTAGGCTCTCAGGCAAAGAGAACTGGAGGAGGCCAAAGGCCGGGCTGCCCAGATGGAGAAAACCATGAGGTGGTGGTCTGACTGCACGGCAAATTGGAGGGAAAAGTGGAGCAAAGTAAGAACAGAACGGAACAAAGCCAGAGACGAATGCAAACAGCTTAGATCTAAACTGGAAATATCCATTAAAGATGCCAACACATACAAGAGAGAAAAAGAAGATCTGGAAATACAGAATGATGAGCTAAAGAAAGAAATGGAAAAAATACACATATTATTGCTGAAGCATGCTGGGCAGTTTGACAGTTCTATATTTGAGGCTTTAAGTGAAGATCCATTAAAGGATTTTGTCTTCAGTAATGGATCGATAATACAAGAAAGGGAAAATGGAGTATCATCGTCTCAATCAAACCCTGAATGTGATAGTACTGCAATACAAGAAGAGGGAGACAGAGAAGATGCTAATAATATTGAAGAATATATTCTTCAAGGTGCTGTTCCTAGGTATATTAAGGAGTTTGAGAAGAAAGCAGAACTTGCTGAGCAAATTAATGGTGTCAGTGCAAAGGTAAATGGCGATAGGGCTATTAATGAGTATGATGAGGACTATGTCATACAAAAGTTGTCAATGCTGCAGTTAAGATTGGATGAGGCTACCAAAACATTGCAAATTGAAAGAGAGTAAGTTTTATTTCTAAAAAAATTATTTAATTATTTAAAAAATCACAAAATGATCAAGAAAAAAATAACAAAATTATATGTTTACAGTAGTTAAATTTACGATAATTATCAAATAATAAACACATTCATAATAAAAACCAGGGGGACATTTAATATTTCACAAACATATATACAGTGTGTCCCGCTTAAGACCTTACCACCCTCGTATAATTTGCATTTTCAACCGATTTTCGTAAACTTTTTTTTGTTGGATAGATCTCTGAAAAGGCTTTAATCACATATGTCACTTGATTTGACGGCTAAACTCATGGCCAACTGTGATCTCTTGTTGGGGTCGAAATTTCGAAAAGTACTATTAGGGATTTTTTCAGAGAAAAAGTGACCATGGATTATTGTTCTGGACCACTTATAACCCCACTATACCAATTTTTATCGTTTTTAAATACAGGGTGTTCCAGATGGAGGGTTTTATCAAAAAATTAAAACATGTCCAGCTGAAACACCCTGTATCTAATAGCGATAAAAATTGGTATAGTGGGGTTTTAAGTGGTCCCGAATAAACCTTTTTCAACAAAAAAAGTTAAAGAAAATCCGTTGAAAATTGCAAATTTTACTAATAAACCTTTTTCAACCAAAAAAGTTAAAGAAAATCCGTTGAAAATTGCAAATTTTACGAGGGTTTTATCAAAAAATTAAAACATGTCGAGCTGGAACTCCCTCCCTGTATCTAAAAGCGATAAAAATTGGTGTAGTGGTCCCGAATAAGTCTTTTTCAACAAAAAAAGTTTAAGAAAATCAGTTTTTATCAAAAATTTAAAAACGTCCATCTGGAACACCCTGTATTTAAAAATGATAAAAATTGGTATAGTGGGGTTATAAGTGGTCCCGAACAATAATCCGTGGTCACTTTTTCTCTGAAAAAATCCCTAATAGTACTTTTCGAAATTTCGACCCCAAAAAGAGATCATAGTTGGCCATGAGTTTAGTCGTCAAAACAAGTGACATATGTGATTAAAGCCTTTTTCAGAGATCTATCCAACAAAAAAAAGTTTACGAAAATCGGTTGAAAAATGCAAATTTTACGAGGATGGTAAGGTCTTAAGCGGGACACACTGTATATATACAGGGTGTCCTGAAATTAGTGCACCATACTTTAACAGCAGATTCTACGTGCAAAAATAAGAAAAAAGTACCTATAAATATAGGTCGAGAAATGCCTCCTAAGGGAGCTACAGCCCCCGAAAAGGGAGCCCCTGAAGATGGTTTTTATCTAATATAAATAAAAAAGTAAAAACACCCTGTCACTTACTACATGAAACTGTCACCTGTCTTAAATTATTCTATTTTTTCCTAAACATGGCAGCCGTATTCCAAGGACCACGCGAGTCCATTTCTATGGTTGTGATTTAATTGTGAATTTTTATGCCATGTAAAATAATTTTCAAATCGATTTTATGCGAAAACGGTGTATGTTATCGAAGTTCAACAAGATGACCTTTTTTATGTGCAAAACTCTAAAATTTTATAATCTGACACCAAATTCTGGTACAAGATACGTACAAAAAAGTTAAGGTGGTTTTAACCCTACTTCCTATCAATCTGACCCAAACCACATAAAAAATTTTAAATTGTTATTGTTACGTCTTATTGGTCATAAAAAGTTTAATTAATTCCCCAAATTTCATTCTTATATTTTAAACGGTTTTGGAGATATTAAATAAAAACCATCTTCAGGGGCTTTTCTTTTGGGGGCTGTAGCTCCCTTAAAAGGCATTTCTTGACCTATGTTTATAGGGAGTTTTTTTCTTATTTTTGCACGTACAATCTGCTGTTAAAGTATGGTGCATTAATTTCAGGACACCCTGTATATATATTAATATTTCACAATCTTATTATACAGGATGTTTCTTTTAACTTGAGACAGCTCAATATCTCGAGAAATACGCATTTCACGGAAAAATATCTTAAATAAAAGGTTAATGTGACCAAAGTGGACCTACCCCTCCTTAAGGGTGAAACGGGGGGTAACTTTGGAAAGTCAAATGGGATGACCCGATTTTTTTCACAGATTTTAGTAGTATATAAAAAAATGAATAACTTTTATTTGAAACTTTTTTTCAATTTATCAACAGATGGCGCTGTAACTCAAAATTTAAAAATTGTTAAAATTAACATTAAATGTTTTTTTTTGATTTCGCATCTTTGGGTTCATTTCTATCGACAACCAAGATCATTCTGTTTAAATCCGACTATATCCATTTAAAAGATAGCTTTAGGAGCAAAACCGGCCAAATCCACGTTTTTATAGCAAACCCGGCTATATCCAATAAATAATAATGATGATGAGCATGAGGCTTGGATATGTCGATACTACTACTAAAATTTATTCTGTTTTTTCATGTTTTCACAAAATTTATTTTGTTAATTTTTTTAGAATAATAAAGGTTTTTTCACATTTTATTCGTAGGTTTTTGAGAAAAACCAACTATATACAAAACATTTTTTGAAATTTTGGCCTTAATATAAAGTTTTTGAAAACGAAAGTAGGTATGTCTTATAAATCAAGTACCACAAAACCCACAAATCTCAAGTTTGCTTTTTTTTATCTGTAAAGGCCAGGAAACCGAGAGTTTTTTCCATTTCCCCAACATTTTATTAAAGTGTATATTAGGGTGTGTCATTTTTGAGCAACTTTTTTTTTCAACCAAAAAACAGGCTAAAAACTTTCAGGAAAATGAAAAAAGAAGCCTCTAAAAATTTGAGCTCTTTATAATAACATTAAGTGGTGCCTGTTCATAACTTTCCATTTTCCATTTAAATAACATGAAAAAAAAAATTCTTTTTTCTTATTTTTGTATCTTGACATTTAAGCATTGTAAAAACGAACTGAAAAATTATTTTGGTAGGAAATTGAACGCTCTACAAAAAAGTACTAATTTATTTTTTCATAGAGTAAGCCGTTCTGAAGGTATTCAAACTTGCAAATGTATGAAATTATGACTTTTATTTTATTAAACTAATACTTATTTTAAGAAAAAATAATTATTTTCGTATAGAAAGAAAATAACACTTACCTACATCTCATTTTTTTTCATTTTATTTTATTTACTATCAAAAAAAGTTATTTGTTTTCAATAAATTTGTTTAATAATTATAATAGATTAAATAAAACAATGAATTTATTATCGAATTGAATTTTTAATCTTTCTTTATTTTTTATAATTTTAAAGTCGATAACTCTGATAAAAGATTATATCGGTTCAGTCGGTATATTACCTTTGGGATTACACGGTGACTAGAGGCACGCTAACGTGCCGCGATTCGAAATGTTAAAGGCAACTTTAAGTTTGAATACCTTCAGAACGGCTCACTCTATGAAAAAATATATTGAAACTTTTTTGTAGAGCGTTCAATTTCCTACCAAAATAATTTTTCAGTTCGTTTTTACAATGCTCAAATGTCAAGCTACAAAAAAACAAAAAAGAAAACATTTTTTTCCATGTTATTTAAATGGAAAATGGAAAGTTAGGAACAGGCACCACTTAATGTTAAGAGCTCAAATTTTTAGAGGTTTCTTTTTTCACCTTCCTGAAAGTTTTTAGCCTGTTTTTAGCTGAAAAAAAAAGTTGCTTAAAAATGACACACCCTAGTGTATATAGCCGGTTTTGCACGGATGCTCCTCAATTAACCAACAAATAACTACTGTTTACATCAGAACATGTGCAGGTCACAAAAGTGGTGCAGATTTATCCAATTCCAAAATGGTTTACTTACATCTAAATGCTCGAGGATTTATTTATAAGCGCTCGAGCATTTATGAGCGCTTTTGAAAGTGCTCATCCTTCTCTATGTTATACTACCCCATTAGGGTGGTTTTTTTTCACGACTATCTTTATTTTTTTGCTCCCCACTCAAAATCTTCTTGAAAATGTTAAAAAAAACTTCCCTGAAAATTTGAGCCCTTAATATTAACTCTAAATACTCTCCCAAAGCGTATAAAGATTTCCCATTTAAAATACATGTAAACTTTGATTTTTTTAAATATCTATATCTCAGCTGCATTTTATGCTATTGGATTGTTCCAATAGCATAAGTAGGTATTTACTCGGAATCAAAAGTTCTACAAAAATGCTTTATGTGCCATAGCTGTAATCTGCACCTGTAGGATGGTACAGATCACTAAATCTGATTTTGGTAAAAAATTCCAATATTTTTGAAGATATTTCAAAAGTGACTGGATTCATAGAAAAAATTTAAAGGACAAAAATGTAGAAAATTAAATTTTCTTAAAAAAAGGTCCTATCAGTTGAATCGCTAAGATTGATATTTGTTGAGATATAAAGCGTTTACATTGACATTTTATGAAATTTATCAGGATTTCGGTACCAAACTTTTAAAAATAATGATTTTCAATTGATTATCAGTACAATTTCATGTAATTACGTTTTTTCTAGTCAGGTGATTAAAGAAAAATAAATAACTAAAACAATCAAGCATAATTATTACTAAAATAACATGTTGTATGTAATACACCTTGTTTTATCAATTTTTAAGTTATCTACTCGTATTATACATATAATTTAAAATTAAATTTATAACATATTATACAAACAGAGCAAATATATGAAATATATATCTCTCGTACAATCCTGATCATTTGATGTTGATTGGGACCTCCCACTCCTATTAATATAATAAGCATACATACTTTATGTCCACGATAAGTTGGCGGACCAAAGGAATTGAGTTATTTATTTCTTTAGTTATTATACAATAATTGTATAACATGAGAATTATTGTCTTGTTGTGTGCTTTTAAAACGTATGTTTTATACTATACATAATAAACCCAGTCCAACCTGCGAGATACCCGAGACGGTGGAACATGTTCTGCTCCACTGCAAAAATTAGAGATGGGAAAATTCCCATTTCACGAAAATTCCCGGAAACTTTCCATCGAAAATTCCCGAAATTTTCCGAAAGTTTCAAAAAAAATTTTTTTATTGCGAAAATATTTTTTTTATGCCAGGGATTTGCAAAAATATATAACACATTAATTTTTTGTAAAATTTTATTAAGAAAAAAATAAAAAAAATGTTTATAAGAATGTAACTGCAATACTATTTTTAGTATCTTTTACTTTGGAATATTCCTATTGTATACTGAAACCTACAAAATAAAAATAAAATGTTTACTATTAGAAATTCATTGCTAGTAAATCCTAGATCCTAGATCCTATTACGTAAAAAAAATTAAAAGGGACAAAGTAACTAATATATAGGAATATTGAAAAGTAAAAGGTAAAGTAAAAAATAATTCCAAAACTAGATTATTTTCTTGGCATTGTGCCAACTTTGTTTATTGTTTTTATTTTGTTTACCTTTTTTATTCATTGAGGTTATGTAATATAACTTACATTATTTATACTTCTTCTTCTGCTTTAAATTAACACACATTAAATTCTTATTCAAAGTTTCTTGGCCTTGTATCATGGCCTTAACGAAAATCAGCGGTTAAACAATGTCGACATTTAAATGAAAAAAACAAGGAAAGTTTCCAAGGAATGTTTCCAGTAAATGTTTCCGGTAGCTTAAAAGAAACTTTCAAAATTAAAATAAATTCCCAATTGGAAACTTTCCAAAACGGAAAGTTTCCTTAAAATGGAAACTTTCCGATTCCCATCTCTAGCAAAAATACACAACAACCAAGACAACAAACCGAAAAAGACACTGTAAGCAACATCATGGACCTACTGGAAAACATAGACCACACCTATCACAAATTAAAGAAATTTTTGGACAAAGTTTCCAACTTGTAGAATTAAAGCTCTTTGTTCTTATGGTTGCATAGCCTTAAGCTAAAATCTTGTATAATTTATATCCATAAATAATAATAAAAAACATAAATAAGTAGGTATCTTTTTTAATATAATTTATCTAAATTGCATGAACATTCCTTTGCCTTTGATTTTTTAAATATCTATATCTAAGCTGCATTTTATGCTATTGGATTGTTCCAAAAAGGGATTTACTGGGAATCAAAAGTTCTACAAAAATGCTTTAGCTGTAATCTGCACCTGTAGGATGGTACAGATCACTAAATCTGATTTTGGTAAAAAATTGAAGATATTTCTAAAGTGACTGGATTTATAGAAAAAATTTAAAGGACAAACATGTAAAAAATTAAATTTTCTTTAAAAAAAGGTCCTATCAGTTGAATCACTAAGATTGATATTTGTTGAGATATAAAGCGTTTCCATTGACATTTTATGAAATTTATCAGGATTTTCGTACCAAACTTTTTAAAAACAATGATTTTCAATTGTATAAAAATTCCTTTGCTCTGCTAACTTATAATGTACAGACTGTACAATTGTAAAATAAACAAGAAATCTTGAAGTTAAATAAATTTGTTTTTAAAATAAAATGGTTTATTTTTTTTACTTTTAGAGAAAAATCTCAGCTACACAGAAATATTGAAAGACTAACTGGTGATCTACAAGAAGCTAAAGACAAATGTGAGGAGTTAAGGGAATCTCGACAAGAAGCAATGAGGGAACTGCTCACTTTAGAAGATCAACACCTTAAAGAGGTTGAATTGATAAAGTGCGATTTAATAGATGAAGCAAATTCCAGGGAGGGAATGGATAAGAGATTGAGTGATCTAAGGACAGAGGTAATTATTTAAATTGCTAGTTTTATTTAAATCATTATATGTAATTTTTTAGCTTGAAAGACTTCAAGCCGAAAATGCAGCTGAATGGGGCAAACGCGAGCGCTTAGAAACCGAGAAACTTTCCCTGGAAAGAGACAATAAAAAATTAAGGAGTGAATTAAGAGACATGCAAGAGAGAATAGAGAGAAGAGGCCGCCCACTCACTAATTCTGATGCAGAAATAAGACATTTGCAGCAAGAAATTAGTGACAAAAACAAAGTAAAATAAAAACACCACTTTATTACCTAAGTACTTTATTAAAACTTGCTTTTTAGGAACTCACGGAATTAAAACATTCACAAAACAAAATGAAAAAAATGGTGCAAGACAAAATAACAGAGTTAGCGCATGCCGTGCGTCGTGCTGAACAGTACGAGACCGAAGTAAAAAAATTGAGAGGCAGGGTTGAAGAATTAAAAAGAGATCTAGCAGTAGCTGAAGACGAACTCGATACGGCAACGAATAACTATAGAAAGTTACAGAGGAGCAACGATGAATTGCAGGAGCAAGTCGATAATTTTCAAGTGCAGCTTCAACATTTGCACACTAGGTATGTCAAATATTTTATGAACTATGGTAAGCATTTTGGAGAGGAATTAGGAATTAGAAAATAATTTTTCAAGAACTACTACAAGGTCCTATTTAATACTATTACTATTTATTGATAAAATGCTGTTATACGGACTGAAGGTTTTTATAATATCTATTTTTTGTCAGAATTGACTGGGCTTAATGGTAATAAAAATATATGAGATGATCATTTATCATTTCAAATATACATTATCAGGTGTCGGTACTTTTTTTAAATAACGACTTGCTTAGGTACTAACTTTACTTATTAAACTTTTTATTTTCTTCAATGCATTCTTTAGTATTGAAAAGGAAGACGGAGGTGAAGAAATGGCACATTATGATGAAAATGAATGCGTAAGTATAATTTAAGACTATCTTGGCCACTCATATTAGGATATTGTAGTGTGTATTTTTGAGTGCTTAGGCTGGCTTTTTTTACTAATATAATTTTATTTAAAAATAACTAACTATGTTTTTTGTTTAATCTCAATTAACAATTAAAATTGATCTCTCTGGATTTAAAAAATAACCATTTGATCCTCTTAGCTTAAGTAGCATTTTTTCGTTAAAAGTTTTGCCTCCCTTATTATGTAAATTTGCATATGAAAAAAATTGAGTGTGTTAAAAATATTCAGGGTCTCCCAGGTAACAGAGTGATATAAAAAAACCCAAAAGTTTAGTAAATAGAACAAGTAATCAAGTTTAATTATTAAGTTTAACCAGCGGTGTGAGAAACAAATTCGTGTACGATAAGACATGATTATGAAAAAACACCCAGTATAATTTTAGAAACAAAAATATTGTAAATAATGTATGTTTTTATAAAACTACATACCACATTTATTTATTTTTATTTTAGAGGATATTAACGAAAATCTAAAACGCTGTATATCAAAAAGAACAAACTGTATCTCAGAAAGAACAAATATGTTGAATTTTTTTTTTTTTAATTTATTTAATAAACCCAAAAAGAATACATGATTCCATAGCAGTACAATAGTAGAAAAATAAAAATATTCAACAAATTATATAAAAACACTAAAATATAAATATGTGGAAGTAGGTACAGGCAGTTATCACAGTTTTCTTATAGATAAATAATAGTTTTTGACCGATGCACTGTGGGCCCAATGTCCAAACTAGGTTGCATTAATTAATTTTTTTTTCTATTTACTTAAAACTTTAAAAATAATTAAACTTTGAGACTAACCAATGCTGGTAATTAATTATATAATTTATTTTTTCATTTTCCAGTGTTGCCACATTGGTATTTTTGGAAATTAATTTATAAAATTCAACTAGTGTAACAAACCATGCCAACGTTATCTACGGATCAAAATAAGTCGATTTAACTCAAATTACCTATATACTAAGTTGCTTAGTTTAGTCGTTAGAGGCCTTTAAAGTTTTAAAAAATAACTATTTTTTTAATTATCTTAAAAACGAATTAATGAATTTTGAATATTTTTCGAATGTAACTTTTAACTGCCAATTAACGTCGTTTGGTGCTACACTCAGTTATCTTTAAAAATTAGAATAATCAGAAAAGCCAGGTTAGGTACTAATTTTCGTTTGTATTTTTTTTACTGTTGCTCACTTTGTTTAAAAACTTTTTGTCTCTTGTAAAAGTTGGATGAGCGGTTTAGCCAGAAAAAAATTATTTTGTAATGTCTGCATACATACTATCGATATATCGCGATAGTTACTATGTTTTATCCCGAAAATTATTGAACATATAAATCTAGAGATTCCTTTTCTGAAAATAGTTCAATTTGACTCAACGCAGTTGCTTCGTGTAGCAGATAAAAAGTGAAATACAGAGTGTTGGTAATAGGTACATGGTGTATAAAGAGGAGGGTTTTCGCATATTTTTTCGGTCATTTCCGGTTTCACCGGAAATGGGTCCAGGTTCAAAAAATTAAATAGAAACCCCTGTACAAATTTTCATTCTCGGATTCTTAACATAATTCTGGACATAAATGTGACTTTTTAATGCCTTTTGAGCAATTTTTAACAATGCATCTAGGCCACCTTGATGTAATATAGAAAGAATAAGTAGGCGTAAACACTTTTAACAAATATTAAACGCCATGTAAGTATATAATTTGCTCATTGCCCAAGCAATACATGCGATAAACAACTTAAAGATGCATATTAATTGGTAATATTTTCTTTTCTCAGAGGTTTACATTTTTGACTGGGATAAGTTTCGCGATTTTTTGCGATTTTTTTGGTTAACAGTTTTTAGTAGTCTACATCAAAGATAATACACCCCATATATATATATATATATATATATATATATATATATATATTTTATGGGGTGTATTATCTTTGGTCTACATCTTTGTCTAATAAAAAATATATATTTTGGCTTGGCATTCGTTGGCCTTCCTATTTTTTTACTCTGCAAAACATAAAAAATTAAATATTCATGTTAATTACCTTATCAGTTCTTGCCAAAAGCAAAAAAAAACACGAATTTTCTATAATTTAAAGTATCCAACGCAACTAATTGACAGGTCTAATGTCAGTTATGAAATGTTTAAGACGACTTTTGCTTTTCACGGCCCTCTAAGCTATAAAATCGCAAAAATCGTAGTTTTAATTAAAACGATTGCATTAAAAATAGACTTTCTTTTAAAGATCTGACATTGGGCATTTATAAAAAAGTGTTCGTAGAGTATTTTCAAAAAGCAATTATGTTTTTACAAGTTTGAATATGTTTTTAATAAAACAATAGTGGCAAATTATACATTTTCAATAATGACTTATTGCAACCTAGTTTGGGCATAGGGCCCACAGTGCGATGTTGAAAATGTTTTTATTGTTCATTGGTTTTTTGTTGTCTCAGGAAGTTCATGGTACCATTTCAGAGCAGATTGTGTTATTCTCCTTTCTCCAAACTTAGTAATATTTGAAGCAATGTGATAATGCTGGTTGGTCATCGTGTTATGTTTATGTTTATCACAGTTTTTAGTTAGGTTTACAGTTGTTTCTATTGGGTTATTTCTAAGTTTATACACCACTTTGACACTATCCAGCATTATTAGCTCAACAATGTTTAATACGTTTAGTTCATTGTATAAATATGTAGAGCTCGTTTGGAACGGTTTGTTAAATAAGAGCTTGAGAAGTCTATTTTGTGTCACTTGCAAACTCTTTAAGTCCTTTTTTGGCGTCCCCCAAAAACCTGGAAGATACATGTATGCATTATATATTAAATGTTTAGACTTTGAATGTGGTCACATAGGTGTTAAGAAAATTTGTTTTTCAGTTTTAACAGCCATTTAAATTTTCTTTCTTTTGATCATTTGACACTAATCAAATAATTATTTCGACATTTCTATTAACGCTTGAATTATAAAATTTAAATACCAAAAACTGTCGCAAATGCACGTGCACGTCGGGAATATTTATGGAGTTTTGCTACGAAGGAAAGTATGAGTTAAATGAGCATAGAAGTGTAGAAGAACTGGCATTGATACTGAAAGATGTATCAAATAAATTATCTTATATTTAACAATTTTTCAAATAATTTTTTAGCTAATTTAAATTATTTTTTTGAATAAATCTGCTACCAGGTAGTACCTACATTTAATGTTACGTTACCTACCAAAATTACAATACTAGAAATCAAATTGTGTTATATCCAAGATATCGCCTCACTTTCTACTAGTTTTAAGTTTAATTTACATATTGTTTTACCTTGTTATAATGTAAATGAATTTGTTCATTTATTTGAAAATCTGTTTAGTTTTAATTTTTATATTGAAAGCAAGAATGACAAAATTCATCATATGGTGATATTGAACCAAAAAAATGTTAAATTGGAATTATCACCAACGAAGACAATAAAAAATATGATAGATAATGTAAATAAATGAAACAAATTCAAAAATAAAGCACACATGTTTGTAACATTTTACGCTTCTAAAATCTTCCGCATACTCATATGGTAAAAATCTTAATAATTTATGTGGGTATTTTTTTATTTTATATTTATTGGGAAGAAATTATTTCAATACCTCATATACCAAAAGCTACTTATTACTATTAACTAAGTAAGTACATTAGGTTATTTTTTCATTCATATTTTAAAGTTTAGGTATTTATAGTTATTTTTATTTTTTAGATTACGTAACTCAAACTCAACCAACCTTCTGACAAGGGGTAACTTGTTAATGGTGGAGGGAAGCGACGATGATTTAAACGAATATTAGTTTTTCTATCAATTAAGGTAATTTAATGTAAAATCTTTTTATGTTAACATTATCTTTGGTTCTATTTTTTCTTTCAAAGCAATGATTTGTCTTCCATTTTCAGTGTATATTTTAATTTACCTTATATACTCAGTATTGCAATATAACTTGCCTAAAACTTTTATATTTTGTATTATTTTTGTGTACAAATCTCTGAATGTATATTTTATTTGTAAAGCATCTTACTTATTTATATTATAATTTGTATATTATTTTTTTTATAAATTTGTATTAGAATATAAAATTATATATTATTTAGTAATAATGGGCACAAATTATTTAAAATGGCCTAGTAAATAAATTAGATTGTTTCTGTCCTGTTTAATGACTGACTTGTAATGTTGTAGACTGAAAATCAGTGAATTTTCGATTATATGCATGTTGTATAATAATAATAATAATAACAATAATGTAGGCTTCTAAAAACATTTGTGATTAAAATTATCAAGCAAAGATTGGTCAATATAGTTTTTTAATACCGATAATAGATCTTACAAATATCTTAAAAAATGTAAATTATATGTATTAACAGTTTTTAATATAAAATGTAAACTTATGTTTTGTATTTGAAATAGAACATTTTTATGAATTTATCCATGCATTGGTACAATATAAGTAATAATTAAGAGCACCAATATTGTAATAATAATGTGAATTATTATTCTTATCACACAACTGCACTATACATAATGATATAATACTAATGCATATTATTGAAAAATACATAAATTACATAAATATAATCAAATTTTAATAGTATGTTTCTAGATTCAAGATTTAAATTTAATGCAGGAAAATATATAGAGATTTTCTTAAACCAAAAAATGTTTTAATTAAATTTAATTAAAATGTTCATGTTTAAACATCACGATACTTTTGACTTATCTTTTTTAAGTATAAATCAAAAAAAATTCCCTGGTTAAATGTGTTTAAAAACCTCCAGTTCAAAATCTAAAGGCTAATTCAAAATTTTAAGCAAAATTAGCAATCACAATTGCACTAATTAGTGCCTTATATATTTTTGTTAGAATGCTTTGCGTTATCATAAATAAACCAGCGTATGTATTTATTATTTATTTACGGAAATTCAGCTGTACATATATCACATAATTTGTGCCAATAAACTATTTAAATAAAACAAGTCTTTTATTTTAAATGTTTTAATAAAAACTTCTTGAAGACTATTTAGACTTTAGACTTAATAAAACTAAGTATAATACATTTTTAACAACCCATGAGACTTCCATCTGGATTGGTTTTTAATTTCGGTGTGCAAATTTTGCCGTTTGGTGTGAAAACACAACTGTTGGTGAAAACACCACAACTGGACGATTGAGTATAGTAAACATTAGGTATTTTTTGTCCCGTCAAAACATTCTTTGAACCGGTTTCCGATGTGGAAATGGAATGGAAATTTGCAGAGGGGGATCCCCCGCTTTTGACCTGATATGATGCAGGTTGGTATGCGTAAGTTGTGCCGTAGCCATAGTGACCGTTTTTAAATTGGGTCGTTTTCGTTCCTACCGCGTAAACTGGACTTTTGTACAGAATCCTTCCTGACCCTGGGGCTAAGCTTACACTCTGAGCTAAAGCGTTTTGGCCTACAGCATAAGTACTTTTACCTAAAAATAACATTCTAAAAAGCTGTTCAATTTTTAAAATTAAAAAAAAAACCTTTGGTGTAAGAATGAACCTTTCCTCTAAACCCTGCTGGAATTCTGTAACCTGGAGATCCCGGTATAATTTGACCGGGTTGTAGTATGGAACCATGTTTAGGAATGCTACCGTAACTTTGGTGTACTGTTGCATCGAGTTTCACCAATGGATCCAATATGACTTGTTGTTTTTGAGTTTTAGTTTCCTGTGAAATTAGTTGTATTGGTATGTTGGAAGTGTCTATGCTTCTTGTCATTGGTTTTGTTGTTGTAGCGTCACCGTAGTCTTCGTAATCTTCATATTCTGCACTATCAGGCTGTACTGTAGCATTATCTTCTTGTTTGTCATTTATCTTTGTCGTTCTAGTGTTGGCGTTAGAGCTAGATGGAGTTAAATCTGAACTAACTAAGGTTTGTTGAGATTGTTTTTGTGGTGGACTTAGTTCAATAGGTTTAAATGGTTGAAATTGAGGTTCAAATTTTCTTGTTTTATTTTTTGAAAAACCTCCTCCAGTTCCTGCTTGAGCTGATCCTGTATATCTTATTCCATTACCAAATAGACCTAAAGCAAACCCAAATTAATTTGATTTCACAAATAAGAGATTTTTACCTTGAATTTGAGATTGAGACTGCCCAGAATGAGTTCCACCTTGTGCACTGGCAGTACCGCCTCCTTTCCATGGTGCAGTTTGATTATCCCTTTCGTTATTTGGAGAAAATCCTATTTGTGCCTGCGAAGATGTGCTACCAGGGCCGTTTGCTTGTGCATCTGCCATTCCACCTTTACCACTAGCTTGAACTTGGGTTTGACTCGCATGTGTTTGTCCACCGCTTTGAGCATTAGACATAGTGTCACCATTCTTAGATGAGTATACAACTTGGGTTTGAGATTGTCCCAAACCACCTTTACCTTGAGAAGAACTTTGAGCGCCCTCTTTTCCACCGGATACTTGAGTTTGAGCTCCTCTTTTCCCATCATCCGAACCAGCAGATGCGCTAAACGACCCCGACCCAGAATAGCTACCAGAAACCTGCGATTGGGCTGTGCCTCCTAAATATTTGCCTTGCGCTTGCGCACTAGCTTCAGTTTCGTTTTTGTCATTTTGTTGGATAGATGATAATACTTGAGAATCTCCATCATATTTTGGTCCCTGATCAACTAGTTGACCTGGGGCCTCTTGTCCTTGTTGACCGGTTGCGTATCCAGGTTGTTGACCGGTTGCGTATCCAGGTTGTTGACCGGTTGCGTACCCAGGTTGTTGACCGGTTGCGTACCCAGGTTGTTGACCGGTTGCGTATCCAGGTTGTTGACCACCAGACTCAGGTTGCTGACCTGTTTCATAACCATCTGCTCCATATCTCCCAACTCCAGGTTGTTGACCGCCCGTTCCATAACTTCCTGCACCAGGTTGTTGAGTGATGCCTGTTCCATAACCACCTATACCGGGTTGTGGACCACCTGTTTCATAGCCACCTGCACCGGGAAGTTGATCACCAGTTTCATAACCACCTGCGCCAGGTTGTTGACCTCCTATTCCATAACCACCTGCACCTGGGTGTTGACCACTTGTTCCATAGCCATTTGAACTAGGTTGTTGACCACCTGTTTCAAAACTGCCTGCACCAGGTTGTTGACTACCTGTACCATAACCACCTACGCCGGGTGGTTGAATACCTGCTCCATAACCACCTACGCCAGGTTGTTGTCTACCTGTTACATAACCTCCCGCTCCAGTCTGAGGACCAGACAATCCATAATCTCCTGCTAAAGGTTGTTGACCACCTATTCCATAACCACCCCCTCCAGGTTGTTGACCACCTATTCCATAATCACCTGCTCCAGGTTTTTGACCACCCGGTCCATAATTGCCTACACCAGGTTGTTGACTACCTGTTCCATAACCACCTGCGCCAGGGTGTTGACCACCTGTTCCAAAACCTCCCGCTCCAGGCGGAAGACCAGATGCTCCATAACCTCCTTGTCCAGGTTTTTGACCACCTATTGCATAACCACCCGCTCCAGTTTGTTGACCATCAGGTTGTTTATTGCCTGTACCATAACCTCCTGTGCCGGGTTGTTGACTACCTACGCCAGGGTGTTGACCACCTGTTCCATAACCACCTGCTCCAGGTTGTGTACCAGATGTTTCATAACCTCCTGTTCCAGGTAGTTGGCTACCTGTTCCATAACCTCTCGATCCAGGCGAAGGACCAGATGCTCCATAACCACCCGCTCCAGGTTGTTGACCACCTGTTCCATAACTGTCTGCACCAGGTTGTTGATTGCCTGTACCATAACCTCCTGCGCCAGGTTGTTGACTACCTGTTCCATAACCACCTGCGTCGGGTTGTTGAATGCCTGCACCATAACGTCCCGTTCCAGGGTAAAAACCAGATGTTCCGTAATTTTCTACTCCAGGTTGTTGACCACCCGTTCCATAACCACCCGCTCCAGGTTTTTGATCACTTGTTACATGACCCCCTGCGCCAGGATGTTGACCATATGTCCCATAACTACTCGCTCCAGATTGTTGACTACCCGCTCCAGGATGGCCGCCTATTCCATATCCACTTTCTCCAGGTGGTTGATTATTTGTTCCATATCCACCTAATCCAGGTCGTTGACTACCCGTTTCATAACCTTCTGCTCCAGTTTGTTTCCCATCAGAACCATATCCACCTGTTGCAGATTGTCCTGGACCAGGTCGTTGGTATTCTTCAGGTTGACCTGATCCATGATTATCTACTTGAAAATTCCCAGTAAATGTGCCTTGAAATTTTCCTCGTCCTTTGCCAGTTTCCTCATATCCACCTTCCAATTGACCAGCAAATTTTCCTCTTTTGCCATTATCCCCGCGGTTTGTTTCTCCTGGAACATTTGTATTATAAGTTTCATATACAGGTACAAATCCTCCACTAGTACCTTGACCTTCAGGTCCATATCCTCCATCTATTCTTTTCCCTGTTCCGGAACCAGGAGTTCCAGGACCTGTTCCCCTTGGAACTTGACCTTCAGGTGCATATCTACCAGTACCAGGATCTCTTCGTCCAAAACCCTGACTTCCAGGAACATACAAGCCAATGTATCCTCCTTGACTACCAGGAGTATGCTCTTCTATTCCAGAAGTTCCTCCTCCGGAACCGTGACCTCCAGGTACATAGACGCCATCTGTTCGTCCTTGACTACCAGGTGCATATCCACCAGGAACAGAACCTCTTCCTCCGGAACCTTGACCCCTGGGTCCATAATTTCTACCAGTTGCATAACTTTCGCTTCCGGGACCTGATTCTCCATCTTGTCTACCGAAAGCATATCCTCCAGTTCCTGAACCTATACCATTGGAACCTTGACCCCCAGGTATATACCCGCTATCTCTTCCTCCTTGACTACCAGAAGTATACCCTCCTGTTCCAGAAACTCTTCCGCCGCCAGAACCGTGACCTCCTTGACTACCAGGAGCATACCCTTCTGTTCCAGGAAGTTTTCCGATGGAACCTTCATCTCCTCCTTCTTGACTGCCAGGACCTCTCCTTCCGGAACCCTGACTTCCAGGAACATATCCGCCATTTGTTCCTCCTTCACTACCAGTTACAGGACCCCTTCCTTCGGAACCTTGACCTCCAGGTACATATCCCCCAACTGATCCTCCTTGACCACCAGCATATCCACCAGTTCCAGGACCTCTTCCTGCGGAACCTTGACCCCCAGGTGTGTATCCGCCAACTGTTTCTCCCTGAGTACTAGGAGCATATCCCGCAGTTCCAGGACCTCTTTCTCCGAAACTTTGACCTCCAGGTCCTTCACTAAGTCCTGGGCCATACTTCCCATCGGTTCTTCCTCCAGTTGTGCTACCAGGCCCTCTTACAATGTTAATTTCGAGCTTACCTGGTGTTCCATCTTCTCCTGGTCTACCTGACGTAGGGCCATAGTGACCGCGTCCAGGCCCGCTAGGTTTTTCATAACGCCCGACGGAGTCAATATCCGTGCCTCCACCAGGTCTATAATGAAGTGTCTGATCTTGGTCCGGGTGTTGGTTGCATCCCTCACAATCTAACGGATTACTTTGGCTTTGGGCTTGACCCATTCCACTACTGCCGCCTTAAAAGATCCAACTGAATCATCTAAACTTTCTAAATATATTTTAAACCAACTTACTGACGATAGCTTTGGATCCTTCATAAGTGGATTCTGCTTCAGCTCTGCCGGGTTCACCTCCTTGACCAACATTTAAATATTGCGATTGAGTTTGACCTCGAACCTTTCCTCTAAAATAATAAGGAGACGACCGTTTTCTGCGTAAATTGTTGTCGAACTTTCCTTCGACGAAAATGTCGTTCATATAGTTTTCATCATTGGTATCTAATTCTTGAATTAAATATACTGGAAATCCGCTACAAAATTCGGTTATTCTTGGGCCCCCTAGAGTATAAACCTATAAATGTTTGAGTTAATGAGCTGTTTGAGTTAATTCCAAAAATATTGTAATTACCTGTCTTTTTGTTAATTGATCAGATAATGCCGAATTTACTGGTAAATTCAATTTTCCATTGTGCAAGATAATATTTTCGCTTCCATTGCTTACATTTAAATTTCTTAAGATACATCTTGAATTTGCTAAGTCCTTATATGCAGCTTTGCGCTTAAATTAATTAATTAGTAATTTAGAGTACTTCAAAAAGCACAACTTTGGTGATATGTTAAACAAATATTAGATTATTCCCCAACCTAGGTTATACTTTTCAAATTGAGCCCACAAAGGCAAATTTATGACCATTCCTTTCGAACCCCAGTACACTCGAGGTCTGGACGGGATTTTTCGAAAACTTGACTTTAAGTTCAAGCAGTAACACACTTCAGACCCTTTTAGGCAACCCAAAAGATAAGATTCCTAAAATTGAAAATTCGGGGATCTACGAAATAAACTGTCAGGATTGTGACAAGAAATATGTTGGACAAACTAAACGATCCATCCAAGTAAGGTTCAAAGAGCACTTGGCCCATGTTAGATTTGGTAGGACAAAGAAATCAAATAAATATGGTAGAATTTGCAGATTTAGTTATACTTCGCTTCTAAAGATGCCAACGAAAAGTACTTTATGCACTTTGTGTTTGTGTTTGAGAAAAAAATGGAATAAACTGTTTAGCTAATACTTTTATTAATAGTGAATATATTGTTTATAACCTCTAAATAGTCGAAATAATAACGATAAATATACTTTAGTAAAACTTTATGTGTCGGGAATAAAAATATATTTAGGATAAATAAACTGTACCCTTGTCCCATATTTAAATATTTTTTTTATTTGGAAGCAATAAACTTTTTTCTCAGTGTAGTATATTGTGCGACTAGTGAGGGCAAGAGAAGATTGTCAGTAACAAGCGAGTGAAATCTCCTCCTTTAAACAATATTCGCACACAATATTTTATTCTACCTCAAACAATGTTAAGCCAATTTTATTGGATGTTTTATCTGCCATTTAACGACTGTCAAGAAGATTTAACTTTAAGCTATACTATTGTGCCCACTAGTGATGGAAGTAGAATTTTGTCCACCGGTTAAGAAATAAAATGAGTGTTGAATAAAAGAAATATTGTTTATCCTTATCTTTATTTTTACCTTACCGTTTGGTAATCAAAAAGTTTCCTAGATTTTTCAGCAGGGTTAATAGTGTAAGGTTCATTAGATTCTTCAAGATTTTGTAGTAAATTGTCCAATTCCTATAATAAACATGAAAGTTTTAAAAATCAACATGTTTTTATAAAACTAATAATAAATTCATTGATTAAAATAAACTAGTAAAATAGAACATGACTGATTCAGTGACCCATGAATTTAAAATTTACAAAGTATTATTAAATTGATAAGATTTTTTTGATGATAAACAATTTATTTACGATATTTCTTTAGCCACAACACATTATTATTAAATTGTGTTTATAATATTGCTAACAAAACGATATTTAAAAGTTAGCTAATCGAATCTGTTTATACATTATAATGTTAAATATTACTGTTTGTTTTAGTTTTAAAACTTTAAATTTTACTTTTACAAGGTGCATTCCAAAGTAAAGAGGACTTAAAAAAATAACAATTATTGTTCTTTAAAATTTTAAGTCTTTAGCAATACTTATTTATTTTATTTATAGCTCCGAGATGGATGTCGGTGCAAGCCTTTTGAATGTCTTCAATTTTCGCACAAATCTATATATCGACAAATTAACTTTCCCGAAATATGTTTTCGAATGTTGAATTTTGATTGTGAGTGATTTTTGGTCAATTTTGAATTGCTTTCAGAGGCACAAATGTCAATATGAAATAAATTGATTATCAATAGAAAGTGCTGTTTTAAGAATATTCATATGTCCTGTATACGTTGGAATCTATCTTGCTAAGGGTGCAGCAAAAATAGCTAAGGGAATTGTTTTTTTATTTCTACTTGTATTATTAACTAGCACATACCTAACTAGGGTATGAACTACAAAGTTTTCAATTAGGTACCTATACGAGGTGTCTAATCCTTAAACCTTTAGATTTGATATTTATGTATGTTTAAAAATAATATTTCAGATATAACAAAGGGGCCAAGCACTTGCTGCTTTGGGTCCATTGCAATGGTGGTCCATCCGGGTAAATAGTATCACAATTATGCAACTTAAAAAATTATTTTTTTGTCAAAAAAATATACGTATGTCTTTGGTTTGTCTAAATTGTGTAGAGAAAAAATTAAGTTAATTATTAGTTTTAAAACTTGCGTGATAATCCAGGATATTACATACCTATCCAAAAATGATAATATTTTATAAAAGGCATCAAAGGATGATATGGTTGACAGATGTATTTTCTGATAGTTTGACATTAAAATAATAAAATAAATAAATTATTATTATTATTTTTTTCCTATTATAATATATTATAATAACTAGAGACGGGATTTTATGCAAAATGCCTTTCTTCAATTTTGGTAGGCCGTTGAAAATTCTTTGTGCAAAATGTGTTTTGGGAATTTTTAGTACAATTTAACCCAACATCATTTTTATTTTTTTAATTAGGTACCGTTTTGTAAATCATTTTTTTAATGTACGCAACAGAACAAACATTATAATTTAACAAAGCTAAATTTAAGAAAAAATAATATTGTTACATTAATGTCAAATAAACCAGGAAACGATTAAAAATGCTTTTATTTTTTGTTGATTAATTTTTTTTTAATAATTTGAGTTATTTATATTGTTTTTAAACTTTTTTTTTATGTACAGGGTGTTATGTAATTAATGTTATATATTAAAATACTGAATACCTTTTGACATACGGAATAAAGGAAAAATATTTAAAAAAATATTTTTCCAAAGATAAAGAAAAAATATGCATTAGAAGTTTTTTATATTTTTTGTGATACGCCACTGGTTACACACTTGGTTTATCTCTGCACACTTGTATTCTGTGAGTACATAGATACCAACCAACAAAGTAGCTACGCGTTGCCAGATGTAAAAAATTGTTACTAAAAATTTTTCTTGCAAAAAATAAATAAAAACTTAATAAATACATAAGATGTATGCCCTTAAAGCTCTAATACCCTTCTGTATTTATTTACTCATCCAGCTATTAGCTTAAGCAATGATTCGAAAATTTAGTACCTATTTTAAAAAATCCATAACCACAAAATTAATTTTTTCATCAGTTTTTTTCTTTCTGTTTACTCAGATGAAATTGGGACCAGTTCACAGGTTAAACTTTAAACATTTAATTTGTGTAAATAAATCCAAAAGCACTTCCCTTAGTTAAGATATTTACAATTTGAGCACATAACCTAAAATTTGAAAGAAATGCACTAGATTCTGTCATAAAAGTTGGCAGAAGTTGTTTGAATTTACCTTCAGTACAAAAATGACATAACCAACAATTAATAAAAACGCCAAATTGACAATTTGCATTGTTAATTTTGTCATTTTTGTAATTAAGCTAAATTTAAACAATGTTTGTCAACTTCTTTGACAGATTTTGGAAACACTGTTTTTACCAAGCATAACATAATAAATTAAATTAGGCAACCAGAATAGCCTAAAGTTGCTAGTCGATCAGTGGCGTACTTTTTGCTAGGATAAAGGTTATTATAAATTATTTTTAGACTTTGGAATTTAGAAAAAAAAGTTTCAGGTGCTTCTTTATGGACCCTAAGGAACAACCCATTTTAATATATAACATTAATTACATAACACCCTGTATATTAGAATAAACGCTTTTATTTTTTAATATTGCATTTTTTTGGTGCCTTTTTTAATAATGTGCCTAAATTTCCGGTCTCTATTATAATAACAAATTTAAACTTCATAGTTTTTAAAATAATAATTTATATAATATGCAATCTATAATATTGTTTTTGGTGCCTTTTTTAATAATGTTCCTAAATTTCCGGTCTCTATTAATAACAAATTTAAACTTCATAGTTTTTGAAATAATAATTTATATAATATTGTTTCGTTTTTGACATAGTCTACTTAAATTTAATAAATACGCGGATTTTCTTTACTTTAATAATAAAATAGAAAAGATCCTTACAAATTTTCAGTAAATGGCCACATATTATTTTTAAATTAAAAATTATTATATTATTCAATGGATATTTTATATTTTTTGAACAATATTATATTATTTAATTTAAGATGAATTTTTTTGAAAAAATTAAAAGCACGAATAAAATTTATACAAAGGTAAAATATTATTTAAATTATATTAATAATAACAATATTTAATTTATTATATTATTATTTAAATTATATTAATACAGTAAGTTCTAGACTTAAATATGTTTTATCATTCTAAATTTTTTTTCTTCATATTTTCATATTTCAAAAATGTGCTTTACGGTTTATGAATAAGTTTTAATATTTTTATTTTATTCAACATGCTTATAATTTTTTTTTAATTTACTTGAAAAACAATTTGTGACGCTAAAATGCGTAAAAAATATCGTAAATTTTTGATAAATAATATATTTTAAATTTTAATATGTTATTACTAACATGTACCTCTTTGTTTCTAACGGTGTCTGCGGAAGTTTGCGCCAAAAGACATATCACTAAACCACCACCGAAAAGTAAAACTCGCGCCATTGAACGTGTAAGTGACCGCATAGCGGCCTATCTACGAATGCTGCTAAATCTATTCCTGGTTACGACTGACCTCTGACATGCTGGTGTCCCCTACAGATATCTCAACACTCTCCATACTTGACTTCATTTTACACACATACACACATTGTCGTAAGGGTTTTTGGAAACCACCTAAGAAAACGTAAGGACAACTTAAGAATTGATTGAGTACTAAAGGGCTATTTGGTTGTCCAAGTATAAGTATAAGTATAAGTATAAGGATTTAGTTTAAACACTTACTATTTGGGACCCCAATTTTTATCATAGATAAATCTGCCCCCATTGACATTATTTTAATGATAACATAAATGCGCAGAAATTTAAACAAGATTTAGTAAAATTTTTAAAATGAGGTCAAATTATTTTAAATCTTATATCGTGGTAAATGCAATACCGTATGTTAAAATACAAATTACTTTTTATTTATATATATATTATTTATTTTACACATTACTTTTAAATGGTTATGGCACTGCTAGTCTATTGCAAACTCAAATAGGAAAATAAATTTTCAAACGAATCAGAGAGGAATTGTGAAGTTTCTTGTCTATTTTTAAAAGTTTGATTTTTTGACGTACGTACAACATATTGTATTAACCATGGCGATATGCCAATAGAGCATTTTAAACTTTTTGAATTTAAAAAAAATCGAAATTCCTAAAAAACAAACAAAAATGGAAAAAATTAAAAAAGATTATATATCTGACTTTAAAAAGAAAAGAACTGAAAAGTTGAAAATAATAAACTTCTAGTAGATTTAAATTTCAAAAGAGCTTTTGAATTGATAATTGCTGGGTACCTACCTAATAACTGTAAAATACAGAAGATATATTAAAAATTTAAAATTGTATGGAAATATTAAAAATTTAAAATGGTATAAAATCTGTATAGTTTGGATTTTTTATATTTATTGGAGAGCCATGGGGCCGGCCAAGCAAAAAGTTATCTTTTTTTTCGCAAACTTTAATTTAAATTCTGCTTGTGCAGAACTTGTTTATAAAGGGTGATTTTTTTAGAGTGTCCGAACTTTAAATTCAAATTAAATAACAACCAAATTAAATATTTTAAAAATATTTATTTTATATGAAAAAACATTTAATGACATTATTGTTTAAAAATAATTTCGGACAAATGTCCTCCGCGGCTACTTGTAACAAAGCGAATTATATTAATCCAATTTCCGACCACTTTATCAAGCAATTTAGGTCTTATTTACGCAATTGTCCGAGTTATGTTAGCTTCCAAGTCTTGAATAGTTGCTGGTTTATTTAAATATACCAAAAATTTAACATTTCCCCAAAGAAAATAAAGATATTTCCACAAAATTTCCCACGTAGTTCAATAACAAAGCCCAACTTTCTGCGAACGTCGACGAATTGACAAATTTGGGTGTTTCTCATCACTGTCGATAACAGCGATGATATTTTCTTGGAAACGCACTGTTTTTGTTCTTGTCTTTATTTTAATATCTAACAGGGTGAAGTTCTTTTGAAATTTGTTGATGATTCGGCGAATACATCGCTCGATTGGGCGTATATATACCATAAAATTCACGAAGAGCACGATAAGTTTGGCGCACAAAACAATGGTTTTGATGGTAAATTTCGACAATTTTTAAGCGTTAAACGTTCCATGATAATTTGTCAGACTATACTGAGTAACTTAGTTTCTAGATGCATGAAAATTGAAAGTTTGTTTGACAGCGACACTTGTCAGAAGTTCGGACACACTTAAAAAATCACCCTTTATAATGTCCTTATAAACTGTTGAGATATCGGTATACCCAAAATCCACCAGCCGCCACTGGGTACCTTATTAATTTATTCAACACCCGCAAGGAATATGTAATTTCGTGGTCCTGCAGGATTGTCCATTTCTTAACTTAACTAGAGGTTAAAAATATTTGACAGTTGTCAGATGTCAGATAAAATATCAAATAAAATTGGCTTATAAGTTTAAAGGTAAAGTTCCTTGCGGTTGTGTGCTCGTTGGTCCACTCTCAAAAAGTCTTCTCTCTCTCTCCCACTAAGCATAAGCATCTGAATTATTTTCAACTTTTTTGATATTTTCGATTAACAAAAAAAATATTGTACGCTAAAGAAGTATCGGTCATCTATGGCCACCACTCGGCTGTTATCATCGTAACAAAAGTAGAACTTTTTATCAGCTGTCAAACGCTTAGGTTACAAACGAGAATAAAGCCGGAAAATTTTAAAAAATATGGAAAAAAAAACCGTGGATCAATTTGTTGTGTTGTTAGGTGTATTTCGAGAGGAAATCCTGGGTTAAGTTTTTACCGGTTTTCCAATAAACAGTGTTAATCTGAATGAAGAAATAAATTTCATACAGTCTCTGTAAATATAAATTGTACCTATTAGATACTATAAATACACATTTTAGTAGTGATTAACGTGAAAAGTGTAAACATTTCAATTCAGTAAAAATCCTCAAACAAATAATTCGTCTAAATTTAAACAGCGTTTAGCATTATTAAAAGCGTTGATTAAGAATTCTTTAAAGTCTCCACTCAAAATAAAATACCATTATATTATGTATCATAGATAACAAAGCCTTATTATTATGTATTATATATAATATTATGTTGCCATGAATTCGTAGGTATATTTTGTTGTTTAAAATGCAGTTGTCGGCGTTTTTTAGAGAACTCAATTATAAAAATGATTGATTTTAAGGTTATGTTTCTGCAAAAATTATTTTTACTAATTTCTTAAAAATGTCCAAACTCAAGTATAAATTATATTAGGTAAAGTTATCATTAGTTAATTCTGCACCAACTAATGTACTTACCGAATTGGATCCTTTGGCAAAACATGAAAATGCAACGATTTAGTTCTTGAATTTTATTTACAATTAAAAACACAATAATTCACCATGATCCCTTTGATAAAATACACACATTAACGTAACTATATAAGCATTTAAGCGTTGAGTTTCTTAATCAATAATATAAGGAATAATCAATCGAAATCGAGTACTAAAAAAGTTTTTTAATTTTTTCCTTGCAACGTAAAACACAAATAACGTGCGCGATTTAGCTGTGCAATTGAACAAAATTTGTCGAGTAAGACTTCTGCCTTCCTCTCTTTTGTAAAAAAACTACCTATTTATTTAAAAATGATGTATAATCGGTGCTTTAAATTTATTGTTGACAATTCTTAAATTCACGCAATGTATTCGAAGTCCACCAGATGGCGTTGCGAAAACCCGATACTTCTTTAGCGTAATTTTTTAGAAATATTTAATGCCTTAAAGCGATTAATTAATATTTTAAAATCAGTCCATCACTAATGCCTAACAACGTGAAAAATGAGTTTATTATTCCTGTTGTTAGGCGGGGCATTATATATGGAAAAACCTAAATAATATAAATAATATGACATAGCAGTAGAAAAAATGGCGAATGTGCCGGGATTAGATATTAATTATTGTATAAATGAGGTCCGTTAAATAAAAAAATGCGTAATTACAAGTCTTTTAACATGGCATTTATAAACAAGTGTGTAATTACAAGCAGATTAAAATAAAATTTATATATTGAAAATAATTCAGCGGTTCTCAAATAATTAAAAAAACAAACTGAAAACCTGTCAAAACCTAAAATCCTTATTCCTGTAAAATAAAATAAAAATAAGTATGACATGTAAATAAACATATTTATCTAAATTTGTATCCAATTTATTAATTATTTATCTATAAGTTATGGCGGCCAAAAGATGGTGATGGTAACTGAATGTAGTAGCGAAGAAATTGGATGAAATTGTAGATTAATAAAATATGACCAAAATTTCCAATTCCTTATACTTAACGATTTTTGGTTTAAAAGGGTTTTAGTTTTTTTTAATATTTTGAGCACCGCTGGCTTTTTTTCGATCCATAAATTTTATTTTATTTCTAATTTAACCGACCTTTTATCTGTTTAAATAACAAAAATACCCATAGAAATATACACATAGAATGATCTTCCTATAAGTTATATAATATTATTATTCGATCGTGTAGTTTCTATAAAAATCGGGCACTAACAAACATAGTATAGGGAAACGGCGGCCATTTTTGTTGTTTACAATTTTTGTGCTTTGGGTTTGTGCCCTGTTTATACATATTAATAATCGTTTTAAACGTTGTTTTTCTTAAAAGAGGCTTAAAAATGCTAAGGACAACCGTTTTACTCCTCTTTTGTAAAAAATAAACCTTATTTTATCAGGGCTGTCATCAAACTGTCAAATGTCAATTTTAAGGTTAATTTATAACCCAGAAATTAACCTTCAAATTGACATTTGACAGCCCTGATAGAATAAGGTATATTTTTATACATAATGTCTAGAGTCCCGTCAGACGGGTCTCCATTGCGCTCCCGTTAAAATTTTGTGACGTCACACACTGTAAATATAGGTATTATTTTTCGAGCGATAGGATTATTACAATAAGCTCGGTAGCTCGATGGAAGGGCGCCTGCTTTGCATGCGAGAGGTACGGGGTTCGATACTTCGCGCCTCTACAACTTTTTTTAATTTTTTTTTAAAGAATTTATAAACCGAAATAATACAATGTGGCCTTAAAAGCATTTATATTTAATTTTACATTAATATTTTAATTTATTTACCTTTCTTCATAATCATTTTGCTAGTTATATAATATAAAATGTAATTAAATGAATATTCCTTCGTTGACAAATTTTTACTCAATGGGGCGTGGGGGGGCCAATGGGGCGGGGTCGGTTGGGTTGGGTTGTTGGGTTTGGGTTGGTTTTGAAGCGGGCGGACTCGGGACGTTGGTTAAGGAAAAAAGATCTGCTTCCCGTCCTAAGATTGCGTCATTTGATGACGTCACTCTGTTAACGGGAGCGCAATAGAGAACCGTCTGACGGGACTCTAGACGCGGCGATTTTTATAAAAGAGGAGTAAAATGGTTGTGGGTTATAAAATAACCTTTAATTAACCTTCCAATTGACATTTGACAGCCCTAATAGAATAAGGTTTATTTTTTACAA